AATTCACTGGAACTTGACTGGATTTCGGATTCATGGGAGGCGCTTTCAGCTACTATCATTGTCATGGGCTTTAAAGTGTCAAACCAATGACTCACCTGCGTCCACAAGCGTGGAACCTTCTGAGCACATACATACATCCCCAGCATGGTTTCTGACTGCTCTTGATTCTCTAATCGCAACCGGTGAGTTAGAAATGTTGGACCTACCGATGCATTTGTCAGTCAAATTACCTGTCGAACTGTATACCGTCACGTATTGTGGGTTGTCCAGGCCAAAAATTAGTTCTGGAGATTTCCCACAGCCTCCTGTAGGAAGTTCGAAGAGGTTTTCAACCGACGCATTTGATCAAAATCAAATGCGTCTGTTCATTAAAAGTGCAGTTGAAAAATTTAATTTTTATGAAGATGTTTGTTCCAGTTGAGTCTTAGTGTCCCAGCCGATTCGAGTGTGTAGGCAGAGAAAACAAACGACTTGGAGGCTAAATTCACACTGGCCCGATTGACGAGGCCCATATTATCCGATAACAACCCACACACAGGCAAACACGTAAACGACTTCTCGTCGACTAGATGGTAGATTTAGCAGTCACTTTGCACACTGGCCTTGTTGTACCAACGTAGTCGGAGCGATACATACTGACTGTCGCCATCATGTTGGAGGGCGACGTCGTCCTACGTCAGGTTTTGCATTTCGCTGATGTGAAAAAAGCCAAGGTAGATCGCGCAGAGCAGGAACTGGTACAGTGCCCCGACAAACATATGGGACGAGGCCAGTGAGTTTACGAGCAACGACAGCTCGTACAACGACAGTGGATGGGCCTTTTTTTCGTCGTCGATGTTGTTTTTTGTTGTTGTATTTTTGCAGACCAACAACGTCTTGCTTGGTCTCAATACCCCAGTTCAGGGTTCGTGTCGACTTTGAGGGCTTGGAAATAGGCGACTAGCGCGGTCTTCGCGGAGTCGACGGTTCGCGTAGTCTTGCCGAGGCTGTAGAGGTAGTGGAAAAAGTCCGTGCATGCCCCAGGTATCGCGCCGACATGTGGGTCGTCGAATCAACGATCTCAATTGAAACATGTTGTTGTTCAGAGAATCACGACAGATTAATTGTCGGGGTTGCCAATCCAATCTCCTCACGATTTGTCGGTTCCCAGGTATATGTGCATACGGACACAACGGCATACTTCGTACTTGTAGTGAGAATCGCGCGGCTACTCGTCCATCTGTACGATGGTGAAATTAGGGGAGGAGTGTGGGAGAACCTATGGCTGGACCACGACCCAATCCGTATTTTTTTATTGACTTCAATTCATTATGTAGTTTATTGATTTATAAAAGTACCTATCATATCTTATTGGCCGACAGAGGGCGGAATGACCTCTGCATGTGTGTTACTCCATGTGTAACGACGTCAAAGCGCTGTTCAACTTAACTGCAACTACCTGCAATAACAAAATTTCTGTCAAAGTTGCCTTAGCTGTTCCGTGAAGCTCATCCTAATTTGAACTATATATACTTCATTTTCCTATATTCTCAAATAATTGATGCTCAGAAATGTCTGACCCAAATTTATTTAAATAAATCCAACATCATACCTGATTGGATAATTTGTCATTGATCTCCGTCCAATCAAATTTACGGGCTACGTCCTTATACAACGTCGTTCTCTGTAAACTACCAACTTTTTACAAAATTTTCTTGCTATTTCTTTTTCATTTCTCAAAATTTTACTACGTACTACTAGTAGTACAGTAGTACCAGTAGAGAAAATAGAGACGTAGAATCAAGAGGTGTCTTAAAACGTGGTGAAGAAAATCTACGTCTCAGATTTAAATTTGGTGAAGAATTGGTCAAGAAATAGACATTTAACCAAGCGGTATTTGCATCGAATTTGGCCACTGGGATGGGCACTGAGATATATCTTGAACTTTGTATAAGACTAGTATCCGTACATCATATCCAGAGGTAAACGGACCTCTAAAGTGTAAAACGCATAAAATCGGGATTTAACTTATTTTGGGTTTTTGGGTTTACTGTTACAGTTAATTAAATATACGTTAAATAATATAACCTCCAGTCTTGGATTTGGCCAGCTGGAAGGTTATAGATGAAGTGCACCATATGATGACAGCCAAGTCACACTTGAACGAGCCAATCACACGCCGCCGTTGCCAACGCCTTGTGCCGCCAATTCCGCCCGTTTTTACCCTGTGGGCAGTTGGACGGCAATTTGACTCTGCCATTCTCTAGTCGATCGATGTATCCGCTGCCGTCCCAGCATGGCCATGTGCGGGAGTCATCCACGAGCCTGCCCAATGCCAACAACATATCGACTCGCACTCGCTTTCAACTCGATGGTTCGTTTATCTAGTGTCTTTGAACAACGCTCACCCTGTCTGTCCTCCTCGTGGCTTAGTGGTGTTGGAACACGTCTTGCTGTCGCACAAGGTAGCGCTCACAGACAAACAACTGCGCATCATTGTCCAACGAGACAACAAGCGGATTCAATCGGATGCGTCCAGCTGGAGGAACGAACGGGCCGATTTTCAGCAAGTTGTCGGGCTCCAATCGACTTTGACGTTGCTGCGGACCCAGCAACTAGCGCAGCCACACCAGCCTTTGTACGAGCCCAAAGTGTACAAGTTTCTCATTCAAGCGGTACGTTTCTCTCTTTATTTGCCTCATCTCTCCACCTTGTCCCAACGTACAGTACGTACGTACCTAAAACAAGCTGACGGCGTATTTTTTGTAGCTGCCTTCGCAATCCCAAGTCGCGTCGTTTGAGCTGGACATTACGCACTTTGTAAACCAGAACGCTTCGGTTAAGTTGACTCCAATCACCGGGTTGGACGCCAATGCCTCTCTGACTCTGTCTGTGCGTTGCCACCCTATGAACCCTAAACCAGAGCCCCTGGCTGCTTCGTCCACTACCAACCCTGGCCAACGAAGCAGTTCGATTCAAATGACCAGCAACAACCAGACCACCCCGGGCACTCGATCCTCGTCCAACGCTAGCTACACGGGCGGCAATTCCTCTTCTAAGCGCGATCATTCCCGAGGAGGTCCATCAAGCGTCCATACGCGGAGTTCTGGGCCCGTGCGGTCCAGTAACCTCACCGACACATCGTCGTTATTCGTACGTCGCAAGTTGTGTTCAATATGGCGCTGTGTAATATTTATTTTCGCCATGTATTTGTGGATTTGGTACGAATGTCCAGTCCGCGTTCCCAATCAAATCACGTCGCTCACTCACCCCATTGGTCCAATCTGAAAAAAAAATACTCGCCGTATTGTACTTTCGAGTGAAATGTCGTATTGTGGTTTCTGGTTGGAATTTAAATCGATTTGATTGGCTTCCTCAGATGAGCTCAAAATTATTAGCCAATCAAAACCTTCTCAATGAAATTCAACCAATCGGATCGATTGTGGATCGGTTTGGTCGGCGCGATTCGATTGCAACCCCTCCCCAAATTTGTATCAAATCGACAATAGATTGGTTTTTTATTTTTTTTCGTTTTTGTTCGTGCTACTTTCTGTGGGATCAGGAAAGCAGCCAATGAACACTTTGCGGCACGAGATTTGTGCCTGGTTTTACGAATCGCGCCGAATCATTGGGACATTTGTAGCATAATTCATCGTACATATATAAATTGAATTCATCTTCATGATATATAAATTGATATTTCGTATTTTCGGTCGAGTGTACGTACACGCCGTGGAGCTCATAACACGATGCAAGTAGCAGGGCGGCCAACCCCTCGATTCGGCCAGCGAATACGCCGAAGACCTCGTGCACGTGAACCAAGTTCTAGTGAAAAGACTCGCGGAACTCGAATCACAAGTGAAACAGCGCGACGATGCTGTGACTGCCACCAACAACTCGATGGAGCTACTCCGTCGTGAACTGGACGAGCTGCGGCTGCGCGAGGCGGGCGAGACCACGCGGGGACTGCAGCTCAAGGCGTGGAACCTGGCATTGCTTCAGGAGTTTGAAATGCTCCAGTTACAACAACACCAAATTCGAGCTGGCGCGCCCCCCACGCTTGTGGATGTCGACTTATTGCAGCGCCTCCAAGCGTTAACTGCCGAAGTGTCGTATCCGTCGGAAAACGACGAGCCAGAGCCCGAAATCGGTCAGTTTGTGTTTGAATGGCGATTTCGTCGATTCACACCCTATCGATCAGAGAGGTTTATAGATTGGAGTGTCACCTGTGGTGCAATTTTGTTTGCTTCTGCTATTACTTCTTATAGTAGAATTTACATATCAAAATTACGATTAAGAACAAAAGCCTCTAAAAATTTTTTACCACGTGTTCACACCGAATATAATACTACTTGGATCACATTGGGATTTTATTGACCACCCGAATGCCATTCCTTCAATCAACTACACACTGAAGGGCTAAACGTGTGTTTGTGTGTTCTGTCTTTGTATTTGCTCCAGTTGCTTGTGAATGGCTTTCTCCTCAATATATATATATATATGTAATTATCCTAAAATGTGGACTTTTGTGTCCTGATTCTTTGCCAAATCTATCGATCGATTCTGTGTACTGACTTCTTTTGTATGCAAACCCCCCATCGTCCAGTGTCACACTAATTTTTAGGTCACACACTACTTGGATGTGGAATTGGTCCACGAGTGGATTTGATTGGCTGCTTGATTCGTGTTGCGGGTATTGATTGGTCGTTTTATCGATTAGACTGTCGAGTTGGTTATTCTGCTCATTTCGATTGATTGCACCCACCCCACTCCCAATTTATTATTATATATCGATATCGACTCCACCCCACTCCAATTTCTAATAATCGACAAAATATGGATGGCTGACGACTGCGATTCATTGGATATTGATGGATTGTGTAGGCGGCGGGAGCGACGGCATCGAGACGAGCTCAGACGACGAAGACTCGAATTTCAATTATGACCCGACGGCCCAGAGCGACGACGAAATCGGTGGATTTATCTCGACTGACGTGGTGGCTTCTGCTGCGGCCACCAAAGCACTCGTGGAAGACCTCCAACAGCTCTTGGCGCGCAACCAACGACTCGTTCAAGACACGAAGCTGCTGATTTATGCGGCCAGCGACGCGCCATTGGCTCCAGACTTGGCCCCCCCGGATTTGTCGGCCAATATTGACATCCACAGCCAACGCCAACGCACCCAGGAGCTCGAGGCGCAGAACAAATTGCTGCAAGCGATGACCGCCCATCATTTGAACGAGCGGACGACGTTTGACGCCCGACAGCGCGAACGCATTGAGATGGCTGAAATGGCCACGGAAGAAGCCAGAATGTGGCAAGTCCGGCACGACCTAGTCTCGCGTCGGCCGCCACTTCCAGCAACTCCACCAACGGTGGTGTCGCCAGTACTGGTTACTCCACTTGCAGTGCAGCCTGCTACGGTTGTACCCCCCGCTGTAGCTGCTGCCGAGGAAGCCCCCCCGACGCCAGTGTCGGAAATATCAAAGCGGCGGTCGGCTGGGGCCTCGAATGAGCTCGCCAAGCACGTTCAAATGCTCAAACAAGGTATTGCCTTTCTTTTACCCAAAATTTGGACTTTATAGTGCGGATTCGCCAAACCTATCATCAATCGATTCTTTGCAATGACTTTTGTATGTAACTATCGTCATGACACACTAATATAAGTCACACACTATTTGGATGTTGAAACGGTGGAAGAGTGTATTTGATTGGCCACTGGACTCGTGATATGGGTTTTGATTGGTCGATATATCGATTGTCTGCCGATTTGGTGCTGCTCATTCGATTGAGCACCCAAACACTCACAATGTCGAATCGACTTGACTAACTAGTTACTCCACACATGGCTTTGGCACTGGGCATGCTATTGTCCTACCATCCATCCTCTCTTATGATCGATTTTTGTATATTCTGGGTAGAAAACCTCGCGTTAAAATTCAAGAATACAACGTTGGAAAGCTATCAAGAAAAGTACGAAGAATGTGAAAAGGCCCGCAAACGACTCGAAGTGCGTCTCATGGCGCAGACCGACGGAGCCGACCGCACCCGCGAAGTGTTCTCGCGCATTCCCAAGGTCGACGACGACGATGACATCTCCCAGATCACGCTGCAGTGCGCCGCCGAGTTGGACATGCAGCTGAATGTGCTCAAGGAACTGAGTCGGACGCAAACCATGCGCATTGAAACCATGAACGACGAACATGCCAAGCTGCGGCTCGACTTTGCCCAGCACATTCACGTGATGAAGACGCGCGTGGTGCAACTGGAAGCGTCGATGAATCGACAACACGAACGAATAGCATCCAACTAAGATTCGAGTAATTTAGAGTATATTGGGATCCAGTGTGGTATGTTGTTTGAATGGTATGCACCTATGTAGTAGCATTGTCAAGTCGTCATCAGCTCCTAGAGGAAATCGTCGTCTGTTTCCATGTGAATTCACAAGACTTCACTGTAAATATGACAGCATTGTAAAATCGTACGAACGGGCCTACTACTGTATGGCAATCTGAAAGTCGCTTGTTCGATCCTGGCAGGGAGCAGCCTTTTTTCCTATACAATCTTCAAATAATAATATACGAAATGTTTCATTGATTTGGCTTATTCATGCTTTCAACAAGGGCAAAGTAGTTTGTTACTACTAACGTTATAGGTACCGGTACGTACTTTGACTACAAAATGAACCACTAACGTTAACTTTGTACTACTTTGACGTAAGAATTCAACTAGTACTTACTTGTAGTGAAGAGGCACGGTTTCGTTTTGATTATTCAACTGCAGTAGGTACCGATACCGTTCTGCGTACGGCAGCGGTCGGGTGTCGAGTGCGGCCAATGCCATAGCTTGTGTGTGCAACGTCTCCTGGACCCACGCAGCCTGCCGCTGTGCCCGCTCCCCATCGGACTCGCCACAGACGTGAGGACCTGTACATACAGCCACAACGAAATCCATCACGTTCACATAAAGCGTGGGGTCATAATATGCGTACAAGTTGCCAGGGGCAATCCAGCCTGGCACTTGGTGCACACTGACGGAGGCGCGCTGTGGGTCTGACGAAACACAACGCGTTCGTAATCCGCAGCCTTGGTCTGAGCCTCTTGAATGACCTTGTAACATGAACACGATTAAGTTCTCAAGAAGTTTGAAGTAGTAATTGTATTGCCAACATACTTCTTCAGTGGCTTTGATGGTAGCCCGCTTGGAATCCATACCAAACTCGGACTTGAACAATGCAATTTTGTCCTTTAGAATGGCGCGGTATGCATTGCCCAGTATCTTGACCAACGCTTCGGAGGCGTCGCGCTTAGCCAGTTCACGCGCTCGGTGCATTGCTTGCTATGGAATTGAAGTTTACTGTGAACGTTCAGATAAGTACATCGTTTGAAATAAAGCAACCTGTTCCAACACTTGTCGCGAGTGTTCGGCAGCGATGGCGGCACGGACGCTGCTGTTGAAAGTCTCGTGTAACGTCACCTAACGTGAAATATTGTCATTCACTTGTCAATTTGATTTATAATGATCGGGAATTGTTGTAAAATAGACCATGTCTTTTCGAAGTTGAAACCGAAGCTTCACCCCCACAAGGTGCATCTGTTCACGCAATTTTTTTGCGTACTGCCGCGCCGACCGTCCACGAGTCCATGCTTGCAGTTTTATTGCTACGATGTTGACTCGTGTTCACAGAGATGATCATTAGACGAGAGATCCGTACCCGCAAGCTTCTGACAACGTTGGTATTGACGCACGCAATGTCCTTTCCATACGCGCTGCATGGTGATGGCTTGGGCCTTGTAAGTAATCGCAAACGTAGAAAACTGACGCCACTGCTGCCAGCAGTCCAGCGTACGTCGGGTGCACGCGTTGGTAAACCGACTGCGAATGTGTTTGGTTTTGTCGACACACTTTTTCCAGTGCCAAAAGCGGTTGAACAGCGCCCGGTGAAATACTTTGACGGACGCTTGGCACAACTATATTTACATACACCCAAGAACCCATGAATGATCTAGAATTCATAGAAATGTATATATATATATTCATCATCCTAACTTGTGAACTAAGATATATATATATATATATATATATATATATTAAGCGCCACCTTTCCCTGTCGAACCATCTTGCGTGTGGCCATCATGTCTTTCCATGTCACGAAACGACCGGCCAATGTCGTAGCCATCGCACTGCACTCCTCAACGCACAGTGAGATATCAACTAACTAGTGATACAGATATATATACATATATATACCGTTGGAATTTCGACGTAATGAGTTTGCCTCGGTCAGTTTCTGCCCGCCACGCTATAAACACGCGGTATTGAACGCGGTAGAAAATACGTCGGCGCAACTGATGCGCGTGGTGGTGTTGGGTCAGGACAGCCACTCGTTTCGACACGGCCGCGCCCAGCGTCACGGCCACGAATTCGCGAGACACGACGAATCTACGACCAGGTCAACCAAATACGAAAAACGCCCACACGACCCACCGTGCATGGCGCTTGAGTACTGTCATGTAGTGCACTGCCCAGTGCTGAAGCGTTGTGGCCGTTCGATGCACGAGCAGGTCGTACACCCGACCTGTGGCACATACTGTTTTAAGGGAAGTGGTAACTTGTGTGTGAGGAAGCGATATACACACCTGGAAAGTCTGTGCAGCAATACAGCAAAGCGTGCAATGGTCCGTACTTCGAGGCAAAGTACAAGTACTTTGTGTAGTCCAAGCGCTGGGCGAGTCGTTTTTGCTCGGCTTTGGACGCGTCGGCTTGCATTTTCCGTTCCCGGTCCACCTTGAGTTTCTCTTGCAGTAGTCGCCGCCGGTGCAATTTGTCCATTTCTTCCTGCATGATTTTTATGAGAGAATGATGATATATTCGCATATCTCATGTAGCTTACCTGGTCCAACTCGGGGGAGTGGTAAACGTTGAATCCCCATAATGCACTGGCAGATGCATTCGGCAGCGCCTTGTGGCTACTGCACTCGGGCGAAGTCAATGAAGTGGCTACGCCACCAGTTAAAAATCAATGCACAAAGCTACACTGCTTACACAACGTAGAGACTCTTTCGATGGGCTTGCCCTTCTTTCGGGGCGGTTTTAGAGGGGACGTTAAGAGGGACTTCTGGAGGCAACTGGGCAGGCCGTTGCGGGGCAAACTCATCTGTTGGACCTTTGAGAGGGACTCACGCATGGAACTTCGACCCACCCGCCTTATTGCAGTAACCACGTCTATCTATTTCCGTCGATAATCACCAGGAGGAGTGAATAACGCATGCTCGTTACGACAGAGTATTACTTTCGACGACTAAATTGCAGATCATTCACGATGGCAACCCTCCTGAATGCTCGATATCTATTTTTAGACAATTTATGGCAAGGATGACCAAAGGTCAATTTGCCTTTGACTTTCTCGTGGTGGGTGCTGCCATGTCCTTCTTTGGCTTGACGTATTTGGGTTCGCAAGATCCGTTTGTGGGTACCGTTCCATTGTATGCGTTCGAAGACGCCGAGCTCGTGGCTGCGGTGGAGGCCGTCGCCAACGAAAACGGCGAAATGGCCAGCATTGAAGCGTTCCTTGCTAACGTGTACCATTGTCCCCGCGGCGTGCCCCCCCCAAAAGACATTATAAACCAAGTCCGTGCTTGGTTTCCCCAAGGAGATTTGCCCACGGATCAGTTTATCACAGGTATAGGACACTACCAACGACGATGTCGACTCTCAGACGAACAATGCAATTAGGCATTCTCGCGCTGAAAGCACACGCAGAAGCCACCGAGACTCAAAATCAAACTGAAAATTGGACTAAGGGCTGCGAGTTCACCAGTGGCCTGGACTTGCGTGCAGCCAAAGTGAAACATACGCGTATGCTAAGGGACCCAAACCAAAAATACGTAGCACCGCTCACTGACTCGCAAACGTTTGGGTACTTATCACGATGTCTTGTTTGAAGCTCATGCGTTGTACTAGGTGGGTAAAAGGGCCGCCTGTGAAAACCATTCCCAAGAAGAGCTGCGAAGAGACAAAATTTGCGTCGGCGATGATTCAGTCTGGTGTAAACTACTTTTAACGTTAGCTCTAGAATGACTAATGCAAATCGAAGTTCAGATTCTGCGACTTCCGTTGTATCAATGAGCTGCGTTGGATTCGTGAATTTTACTTGATTAATGTAAAGGTCACTTTAAAGTAAACTAGTATTAATACTACCTACCAGTACGTATAATAGTACTCAGAAAGTAGGGACGCGTCGAATACGACTTGGTTTCAACTCATACATCATGCCAGACGTACTAGCATCCGTAAGTACGTCTGGTATGATGTACGAGTCGTATCCCAATGGTGGTGGTGGCATCATGGTGTGGGGTGGTTTTTGCATCCTCGGCAAACTCGATCTGGCCTTTCTCTAGGTTTGCCAAAAGTCTGATGATTACGTCGTAACACTGTCCAATCATCTGCTTCCTTTTGGGCACTAGAATAACCGTTCGAACGTGTAAATTACGCAAGATGGGGCCGCCATTCACCGTTCCAAAACTTTGTTGGCATTTTTGGACGAGGAAAACATCAACTTATTTGAGCACTCTGTGCTGTTCCCAGACCTCAACGCGATCGAAAACGTCTGGGGCATGATGGTGCAGTATGTGAATGTGAGTGGGAAGCAGAACGGCAGTGTGTGTGACCTTGGACTGGCAATTCAGCGCGCCTGGTCCTCCATCGATCAAGACTACCTTGCCAAGCTCATTGCATCGATGCCACGTCGTTGTAGATTAGTTCAGAGGCAAAGGGGTCCAACACAAAGTACTAGCAAGTGTTTTGAGTGTACTTAACATCGTACTGCACCTTGAAACCTGTGATTTCTGAAGTGGTTGGGATCCTATTGACCACCCCTCAAAATGGTTTTTGGACAAAATAAAGTGCAGTTTTTATTGGATGAAGCTGTTGTATCGGACCCAATAAACAACCAATTAAAACGGAGAGAATGGTGTATTCCACATGTCTCTACGTTTTATTGGACAAAATTAATCCCAGATAATCGGGGTGGCTGGATCCTACTGGCCAGCACTGTACATATTAAAATGGTACTATTAATAACGTTTCCATACTGTTAACGTTAGTCCAAATTACTTGGAAGCATAACTGTAAGGTTGGTACAGTACAGTATAGTGTTAACGTTGGTCCAAATTCAATAGAGCCATGCCAGGAAAAAAACTCCTCCAGCAGGGCTCGAAACTGCGACCTTAAGGTTAACAGTCTCACGCTCTACCAACTGAGCAGTTGAATCACAAGGTTGATAGAACCGTAGGGTTAAAACTCAAATACACCCCGATGTACAGTCAGCCATGGTGGAACTGACCCACCTACAATGGTCCACCCAAATCCGACGATACCTGGCCGTCAACCATGGATGAGGAGCGCGAGCGCCTCAAGACTATTTTGCGCCGACTTGGGTACACTTTTCGGTCATTCCTTTGATCGGGAGTGACCCCACACTATTTATTGTCCTTTGGACACTAAATCTGTCATCAAATCTATTAGCGTTAGTAGGTTACAGTATAAGATTGTTGGGGTTAAAAGTACTGTAACTACACCCCGATGTACAGTGAGCTACTATTATAGAGGATCTAACGTTATACGTGTACATGCTTGGGATATACTAGTACGCTGTAAATGCTGTTTAATGTCGATTTCACTGTCGATTGAAATCGATATGGTCGATTCGAGCTTGATTCTTGCAGTCAAATGGTATACTTACTAGTACTTTGGTGACAAGGCATACGCTGCGACTTAACCTATTCAGCGCAAACTCCCCCCAATTGCCAGAACAAATCATGCCAAGGATATAGGGGCAAAAATGAGATGCTGATTAAGCAGAAATACCAACAACACCGAAAGCCTTGATGGGGCCAGCGTTGCCATTTTGCAAGCTAAGTTCGTGGCCACCCTTGCCCAAATCATCTTCGTTTTCGTGGATCACCAACGAGCGTCCGATGACCGAATGAGGACCGATGAGTTTGAGAAGTGGGTCTTCGATGTGCACCTTGGCGTTGCCTTCCTCGTCAACTTGGATGTTGCCGAGGGAGCCTACGCGACGTTCGTCCTCATCTGGGGCGCCATGGCTCTTGCCGAACGGGTTGAACACGCCACCGGTGGACGCGCCGCCGTTGGAGACGTCGCCGAAGACGTTGATGTGCAGAGCATGCTTGCCAGCAGACAAACCCTTCAGGGAGCCCGCGATGATGGTCTTGGCATCTTCGTTGGCTTGAGAAAGCACGAGGGAGCCAAACACTTGGGCGTCTTCGCCGTACAGAGTCACAACTGCTTTCGCCATACTCGTCGAAATCTACGTTTGGACCAGTCGTCGCTGTTGCAATGGACAAGTGCCATTGGTTGAAATGATAAATTGTTGGTAAAACAATGACTAGTGCAATGTATGGTTGATTGAAATATACAATAAAGCCAATTTTTATTGAGAGAGGAAGATTCAATACAAATGTAAAGAGTTTCGAACGTAGTTTTAAACACAAAGCGTTTCACCTGAAACCGATACGTAGCACGAAAGGCCACAACAAAGACTTCAATTAAGGGGTCTCAAACGTTTCAATCCACGCAGAGGACATGAATTGATGGGAGGGGTATGAAGTTAGTAGTCGTCTGATGAATCCTGCGAGCATGTGGTGGTGGTAGCACGAACGGTACAACGCGGACTAAGCTGGACGGCTTTCATTTTGGTACTTTCGTGGCATTTGAATGGGCTGGTGAGGCATCGACGGACGCTTGGGGGACGATGGGTCTTTCTTGTACACTTGCACTTGGAGGGCAGCCCATTCGTAGCTATAGATTTGAACCACGTGGCGAGTTTGGTATGAAACGAGCGTTTCGACTGGCTCGGTGATACGTCTACCATTGAGTGCGCTGTACGATAAAGTGAAATGCACATCAACATTTGCCTACTTCAAATGAAACATCAACAGGACGAATATCGAATGAAAAATGCCTTTCAGCACGTCCTCCTCTGAATCGACGGTTAACGTTGGCGTGGTTGCCGTGAATTGGTCGAAAAATGATGCATGTAAACTTGGCCTTTCTACTGACACTTGTGGTAGTATTCTAATGACTGCAAGTACACGAGCACTGTCATGATGTACCGGAATACATAATATGATCTACATAATATTCAATACTGTAGGAGGGTTTTTATGCTGGGCAAATAAGCTACGCCTTGCCACCAGTGTTTTCGTTGCAACAAAGGATGGAGAGCCAATAATCCTAACGAACCAACGACCAGGCTAACAATGCACGATCCTTTTGATATCGCGAACAATACATAGAAGCAGGACATTCTTCAATTGACGTCTTTGAACTATCGTACGAATACTAGTACAAACGACGAGGTGAAACCGTGGGGGCGACCACAATTAAGTAGTAGTACCGTAGTACATGTAACAGGGTTTTTACCAGTAATTTCCTACCGGTACTTTCTTACCCTCTCTGAACGATTTCCTGTGCACCCACGAACGATACAAGCACAGTAACTTGTAACAGCCGTCGAACCCCCGGCTTTTGCCGAGCTAGCCAACGATCCATGGCACGGGACCGTTGGGCCATGGATGGTGATAATTTTTTTAAACCCAGTTGGGGGTGTCGGTTGAGGTCGTTTCAACGGGTGTCTAGGAGTATGTGCGCACACAGCACATGGTCTCATCAGATCCCCCCAAAGCACCCTATCATAACGAAGTGGCTGTGTTTGTGACGTGAAATAATACACTTGTAAACTGTTAGCACTGTAAGCTTACTACTTGTTTGACTTCACCACTCATCGTCCCGACCTCGGAACAATATCGAATTGATGACATTTGAGTGTATGATGGGTACGTTTACGCCTACCATATTTCGCGAACTCTAATCCACATGAAACGAGAATTCGATTTTTCAACAATTGTTCCTGCGAAGTGATTCGGTCAAATTACAATCATTCTGGAATTAACCGTTTTGATTGGATGAACTACGAGGTAGCGTTTGTCATTTGCAACGTTAAGGAACTATTCCAGTTGGTTAGCGATGGCGTGTATCTTTCTTTATTCACCACTCTGGCGACACATATAAAGTACTAGTACTAGCACTTCGCATGAACTGACATGGACTACCTCCTGTGTCAACCAATCAAGCCAACAAAGTAGGTTCGATTAACCACACAACCACAACTTTAAGAAACACTTTCTTCCTATTAAATAACTCTGTTCGATCCAGGGTTTAGTAGTCGTCGTCGTCGTCCATGGACGTCACAGTGTGGCGACGGGCTTGGGCTTGGCAGTGCGAGCACAAAACGTGGGTTTCCTCGATGGGGTCATAGGACCGGCGTCCTTCCCTTAGCTGCGACACTTGCGATGGGATGTATGGCACCCGGTGACCGCCCACAACCGTGGTTAGCTTGGTTTCGTTGGCGTATTTTCGTGGCATGGCAATGGGCTCGGACACCACGTAAGGCGACTTCTTTGCCTTCGACGGCTTGGGGTGCGTCACATAGGGGCACGTGCATTTGGATGCTTTGGTGATTGTCTTGAACCACGACGATACTTTTGCCTTGAGCGACGACTTTTCAATGGTGGTGGTGGCTACCATGTTGATTTGGTGTATTGCGGGGTAAACGGTAAATTGGAAAGTGAGATGTCTTGTGTTCAAGGATCTTACAGTGTTAACCTCGGAACCTGAATGTATGTCTCGAACTTCCTACATTATCTCAATTACGTCCGATCGAGGTTTTGTCAAAGTTCCGCACTTAATCTAGGTGGAACGTGAATGTTGACCATTCCGTGCAGAATGTGTGCACGATCATCCAATTAATCGTAGGATACTAGTACGTGTGTGAATCGTACCGCAGCGGGTGTTATTGCAAAGTTCCTACTATTATAATTGTACTTCGAAGTACTATTAATCCGATATGTAACATTAAGGATACGTAATGCAAATAAAAACTAGTACTACGTATTATTAATAATAGTACGTACTAACTTTATACTCCGAGTACTATTAACACATACTCCTAACGTGACGGATCAGTGATTTGCCGATTTTGAGATCCATTCAATCAACCATATCTGGCGAAGTTCAAATTATCTCGACGTGAAAGTTGCAGTGCCGAACTCACCTTTTTGAGCTTTATCTCATCATCCGAATACAAATCAAGTATGAGAGTTTGAATCAGGGCAAATAAAATGTCAAAGTTATGCGCTCAAACAGGTGATCGGTGATTTGCCGAAATTTAACCTTGTATTCAGTATGGGAAATTTACGCCTGATGAAACAAAATTATTGATTTATAGAGCAAAATTATATGTATGCAGTAATAATATTTTACAGGTCATACTTGATTTGAAAACAGCGAGCCCCTCTTTAAGTTAGTAATATTCCCACCATAAGGTTTTGCAGGTCTCAGTTGTAGCAGGCTTTACTTTCCTTTTATCCAATCATATCAATTCTTGAATTCTACTAGTATTGGGTATTGCTGCTCCGCAAATCACCGATCTTTCGGCAAATCACAGATCCGTCACGTTAGTAGTATGTACTTCGAAGTATAGAAAGCAAGCACCACCGGGTACGTTACAGTCATTCCCCGATTTTTGCAGATACAAGCTTTACGGAGGTACTAATATGAAAGGGTTATATGAAGTCTTGGAGGGATATACCTTCACACTACTACAGTACCTCCAGACGGAAGTAGAAGTACCGTTTCAAAATCGTCCAAGGACGGAAATAGAAGTGCCTAATGACAGACCCTGAAAATAGAATAAATCATTGTCACTCCAGCTGTAAAGAACAAGTCAATATTATAAACCTGAAATTTTTATTTAAATATCCACGCTTGTATAGTGAAACTCATACAGAATTAACGCTTCCATGCAAGGCCTACACTCCAAATCTGATTTACAGCTGCTCATTGAGAGTCATACTAAAATGAAGTTAAGTCATGTGGATACCACCCATGTATAGGAGAGGCGACATTTTCAGTGAAAGTTACTACGGTAGTAGTAAGGACATTGAAGTCATCTCATGTCATCCACCCTCAGGTAGCACGGTTGCGAATTATCATCTTGAATTGAGTATTGCTAAAGTCAATTTTGATTTGTCCTGTTGCAGTTGCATCGTTTCATATTTTTGCCAATTCAAGCCAATCACATTAGTCAAAATGAAACCTTTTGACTGGACTTTTCAGATTTTCAAAAAGTTCAAATTTGAGAAAATTATACACTTTCTTCCCAAAGGGTACTTCCATTTTCGTCTGGAGGTAGTGGATAAGGAGATTTATCACATTTGATGAGCACAAACTAACCGTAAACATCCGAATACCCTACACGTTTTGTGAAATGTGGGCGCCCAATATTTCAAAGCAAGTACAGTACACTCTCAATATTACTGTAGTATCGTACTATTAATAGTAACGTGTATCCGAAGTTCAAGTGCATAGAATCTGGCAGTGTAAACTGGAAGAAATCCATGCTATCGGAGCGTTGACGAAGATTCGACAAGTCCATCCATCAAGTTCACCAGCTCAAGAAATCCACATCAACTCACTCTCCCAACCATAGAACAATTTCCTTCAAAGTCGTACAACAGAATGTGTGCATTTTGACACTTCCGGTAACGTTAGGTTGACAGTGAAGTCTGTAACGCAGCGGAATGCATGTAGTTTGACTCATGCCAGCCAGGAATGATTACATCCGGATACACCTTTTCTCCAGTACTACCGGTAGTACTTAGCCCTGTAACCTGGGACTCCGTCCAATGTACCCCCAGTGGGTACATACGATGCTAAACCCCTAGTAAGAAAGAGGTGACGTGGTCTGAGCATACAAAGTTCCTTATAAATCTCATTGAAACAATATTTCGGGTCAAAACAACAGTGGAACTGTTTTACTGTTAATGAGGGAATTGTACCCACTGGAAGCCGGCCAAGGAGTTGGTCAGCAGTAGTTGACGTGAAGAGTAAGCTAAAGTGGTGGCCAGTTGAAGTGAAGGGTAAGTGGTGGTTGAAGAACTCGACGATTGTGGTGTAGATTTGTCGTGATTACTCGTTGCAGTCTTCTAAAGATTTTACACCCATGATCAGAATTGGACACTTTCAAGAATAATCACCACCACGACCTTGCACAAGAGATGCCCGGCGAACAATAACACAAAAGACTTCACGTTATTCGTACTACGTACTAGTAGTAGTACATAAGCTAAATAAGTTAGGGGGTTCGTCCTATTAGTACTCGTCTTCGGCGTCGACAATATACCGTACGGAAAAATCCGCACTTCTTGTTGGGTCGATAATTCCTCTTGTTGGATCGATAACTCCTCGATCGGGTCACAGGGTTTGCGCCCACACTTCAATTGTGATTATTGTGCCGGTATACATGGCACGCGCAAGCCGCTGACTACCGCGTAGGGCTTGGTTTCGTTGACGTACAGTACTTGCGGGGCAACGAGATCGCTTCGACACATATCACACTGTCATGGGGGTTGATTTGGTGGTTTTGGGGGTTTTGTGTTTGTGCATTTCCTGGTGGGCTGGGAACACTGTAATGGTCCTGAACTACGAGAGGACTTTGCCTGAAATGAATTTCTTGTCTGAGGGAACTATCAGGGGAAGAATGACCATGTTTAGCTTGGAGGGGGTTGAGAAATGTATGACACGTGGCAAATATATACACACCCCAACCTCAGAACAAACGAACCAACCTCGGAATAAGTACAGTGTACAGGCAACGTGAGTTTTGGGCATTCTGAACTGTAGGAACTTTTTCGCACCTCATCCTTGCGTGTCACAGACTCCGAACCTCATTCTTTATTGTCACATTATCCTTGGTTGCCAGCATGACATTCTTGTATGCGAATTTTTGACATGATATTTTCTTACTCTCCTATACTTGTACTACAGTAGTACAAGTACGCGAAAGTGGCACGAGGGTGGTCAAGATGGCAAGACAAGTCTGAATTCGTAATTGTTTCTTTTTTGTGGCAAGGGGACAGCCTTGCCACGTTGAACCCCCGTTGCCAAGTTGACTTCGATGGGCGCATGGGGAAGACTCATAGTAATGCCGACCAAGACAGCAGCAATGGGAGGATATTTCGATCACTGTAAGAGACTGCAGGTTCTACTCGTTCTATATATAGTTTGATCCTGTCACTGTAAAACTAATGTTTGCAGCACATCGTGTTGAACAATCATACTCTGGCTTACTGGTACGGATCGATGGAGCATTAATGGCGTGGCATCGGTAATCTGGATGGTAACTGGTCGATGGCACCACCCGTGAGATTCACAGTCAGTTGAGACAATTTGTCATCGACAGGCCATGAGACGTGACGATACAGTTCGTTAGACATGTTGAAGATGTGGTGACTAGAAATCAAACCTTATTCGTCGCTCCTTGAACCTGTTACTTGCACCAAATGAAGTACAAATCTTAATCGTCGCCCCAAACCAATTTGTAGTCCTGTTTTGTACATCATTGACATTGAACGAGTACACCTTGTTGAATTCGGACATGGGTTAAAATGCGTTAAAAGGTCCGAATATAAAACTGAATTCGACTTGGTTTCGGATAATTCGATGCATCTTGCAACCTACGTCGGATGTTAACAATTCCGCAATTGTCTAACCACGAATTACACATTGACTGGGAAATCGAGCGTTGAGCTTCACCTCCAATGCAAGCAAACGCCACACAGAGCAATCGGGAAGCCCTCCGTCGTAGAAACGACATGTGTGTTACTTCTGCCACATCACATAACGATCTCTTCCGTTAACGCGTCGATGAGCATCCTCGCGGGATCGAGTTCATGTCCATTCGACGTTGTGGACCTCCTCTTCGCAAGAGTCCCCTGCATAGAAATATGTATCTCCACGGTACACACGGCTTGGCCAGGCAACCTCAACTGAGAAAACCATAGGACGCATAGTGGGAGCATTGGGTTCACAACCTTGTATCCTTGTATCCAATATCCGGATTTATCTTACGGATGCAAGCTGAATGTATGTGTTGGAGTGCGCGCTCTCAGGACTTGTTTTCGAGACACACGAGTCATTTTGAAATTTGCGCTTTGCTGCACACATACATAACAAACATGCAAGTCTCGACGCTGCTGTCCACCACGTGGTCCATCGACAACACCCCCGCGCCTGCCCCGCGTCGCAAACGCGTACTCACCCCTGAACAGCTCCACATCAACCGCTTGCGCTCCAAGGAGTACTACGAAGCACACAAGAACAAGGTCCTCGAGAAGCTGCGCTCGAATTACGCCAGCAACCGCGACAAAGAACGCGAACGTCAGCGTGAAAAGTACCGCCGATCCAAAGCCAAGAAAATGCAGACACAACAGACTTCAGATAACAAGCTTTCGCAAAACATGGGCGGCGCTGAGTGCCTGGTGATGTCCACAACAACTACCACCCCCTCCAAAGCGGATCATCGGTTGGCGATTCAGTTCCTGCTGAACAACTAGCTCACTCAACGCTTAAGTTAGTTTGCCATCCCTTATTTAGAAACATGACGCTTTTTCCTTGCGATTTGTATTGGAGACCTCACCTACTGCACTGTACTTCGCTGGAGGATTGAGGTCGACATTGGACCAATCATCGGAACGACTCGATATCCGGATGCCGATAATACATGCACACTGGAACGAAAATCCAGTCAGCCAACCACTATACCCCGCTAGATTTATTTGCATTACAATTCCAAAATTCCAGTAGCATTAGTCAAAAACTACTACTAGTAGTAGTACTAGTACGTGGTACAGCACTGCAGTTCCTGGGATCAGTATCGTGGCGGTGCATTGGAGGTGAAAATCCACCTTCAACTCATTCACCATTTGTATGGACAGGTTCTTCCCGTCGTTAGCAACAATCAGTACAGTCAGTACCCATGTTTGGCAAGGAAAGACCAATGTCGTGCGTTCTAGAGTAGTACTAGTATATACTAGTAGAGCGAAAACGATTGAAATTCGTCCAATTTATACCCCTGTCACCTATTTCCAGACATGAGGCGCTCCTGTGGAGCTCACGGTCCTACTCTGTCTCATTTCTTACCTACCAGGTAGATCACAAGGCTTGGAATTGGGGGATGGAAATTAGAGCAATACTTCACCCCCCCCCGTACCAGTAAGTTATGCTGGTGGCATGGGAGAACTGCTAAGAGAAGGGGGGTGCATGTTCTCGTCGAACGGGTTAATGGATTGCAAAAGTCGCACACATGATACAACGCTTTGACAGACAATACGACTGGATTTATTCATCTCAACGCAACTAACCCTTCCGCACGTGACCGCTAGCGTTAAAATCAGTTAAAGATACCGACAACTTACAGTCAACGACACTAATAAGTACTTGTACTACGTAGTAGTTCTTACAACTGAAGCTCGTCGTTATTTGTTGGAGTCAAAACCTCTGTCATATAATGCTAACCCTTCCGTCACCTTAATGAAATGCTAACCCTTCCGTTTTTAATGTACCAATTTAGCGTACAGTCTTAATGATAGTAATTCAAGATTTGGTTTGAGTACAGTACATCCTTGACGACACCGGCCACATTCAGCGTACAGTCTTAATAATAGTAATTCAAGATTAGGTTTGAGTACAGTACATCCTTGACGACACCGGCCACATTGGGTTGGATCTGAGGTTGTGTCGAGTGTTAACCGTAAGTCGTAACAAATTTCGCAAGAAAAATACATAATCTAGAAACCCATAACCTTGTGTAAATTATATTAACCTGTTGTAACCGCCCTAAACACAGAATTACAATTCTCTGACACATACATTTCAAGATAAAAATAGTACAGTAAGGTAATGCATCAATTGTTGACACTGTTTTTGGTCATTTTGGCCATGACTTCAAATCCCAGTAGCTCGAGAACGAGAACGATTATTTTACTGTTAATGCTGATAGCACGACAAGAGAATATAAAACGCCACCATTTTTTTTATGTATCATTGAGCATGATTAGACTACATTTCAGATTTGTATCGAAATTAAATGTTTTGAGCTTTATGGTCACGACTTTTGAGGTGAATCAATTCATGACACCCTTTAAAAACCTTGATGTTTGTATTTGATTAAATTAATATGCAAAATAATTTGATCAAAAATATAATTGTATGCATTTTGCAATACGTAGTAAAAAGTTACATGAATTAATTTAATTAGTCAGATTAAAAAAATGCAGTCACATTTTAATTCACTGACGTTGATCACAACAGTAGCAGCATAGTGGAGGCCATCCACTCGTTGCGACGAGCAATACACTGCTGCTTCTTTGTCTATAATAGCGATGGCTCTAAAGTGAGTACTTCCATGTATCACGGAGCTATGCACAACTGCTGTGACGCTCTCGTAGGCATGTATGGCGGGACAGTGTCAAGTGTTTCTAGTTGACACTCTATTTAAATACTTGTATTTTTTTTGTTTGAGATTGAAAAAAACTGACCAGACTTCAGCATTGAGACATGTAATAAAATATAGAGACGAATATTATCATATCCAATCATACAAGGCCAACACGAAATATCGAGATGCTATTGGCTAAAAGTCAGACTGTCTCAAAATTTGGTGCTGTGTCAACAATTGATGCATTACCTTACACTCAAAATTGGTCATCGAAATGTGTGTACAAATGCTAAGAAAGTGACAAATTTACCTGTGAAGGTAGTCGCGTACACTGTTAATTCGATTATCTAGGGAAAGCGGTGCGTCTTGTGGTTTGGAATCGCCAACTAAAATATCGTAACGGGCTCAAAAGGTATGTGCGTTCCCCTCCTACCCTCCAAAAAAGTTATTATAAACTGGTTTTTGACGTTATCTGTTTAACTGTAAAGTGATTCATGTATTCCTTGGCCTACGTCCCATACCCTCCACCAACCCATTCATACTATGAGGGTGAGAGACTAACAGTAAGTGTTGGTCGTGATGATCTTTGAAACTTTGTGCTGGTTCCATTATTACATCTCTACAGTACCGGTAGTCCAATTTGATTGACGTATTTCACAAAATTGAAATATTCCTGTTTGACTGGGAATTCAAAGCCAGTAAAATTTACTTGGATAATGTATTACAGATTTACAGTTAGGGGATGAAACCTATTTATTTCACCTCTTAATTATAATAATAATATATATACGCATACTACATGTATTAATAGTACTACGTACTGTAGTAGTACTAGTAGAAGAACAGTACTATTAATATTAATATTAATATTAAGTTGGGGCTTACAACATGCCCATACAATTTAGAAATGAGAATGAGATTAATACTGGCACTTTATGGTGTGTCTCACTCACTCTTCAATGTACATGAAACAAGAGGACGTTGTTTTGTCCAATCATTATCACTGGATGGTTGTGATTGGTTATTGGCTGACAGGAATTGCATGCTGACCGGGAATTAAGACTAACAGTAAATAACTACTCCATAGTACTTCGAAGTACATGCATGAATCACGTTAGGGGCTGGTCGGGGAAGATTTAGTCCATGTCCGAGAATGAGACGTACAGTATCCGGACAAAGTGTTTTCGCAATCCAAAAATGTCCATCAATAATTTTTCGTTTTTTATGAAAATGAGTGCCATACATGAGCGGGCGTAAGTGGACCATCCATCCGCGCCAGAAAATTGGCATCCATGTCTGAGTTATTCCGGAAAGCGTGAACGATTGTGTTATCCGGATAATTTGGGCAATAACCAATCAAAAGCTCAGAATGTCTTGAAACATCGACAGAAATATTCCGCGACCAGCCCCTTATAATAAGCCGACTGTAACGTTAGAGCATCTCCAACGGTAAATTCTAACCTATTGCTAAAGCATAGGTTAAAGTCAAACTTCGTTTTTACGGTTGCTATTTTGGCACTATCCGGACATTTTAGAAATTTCGACTCGCAGAATTTCTATTTTCGCGTGAAATAGCAACAAACCCTCCGGATAGTGCAAGAATTTCTATTCTATATCCGTAACTTCGAATTGAAATAGAAATAAAAACACCGTTGGAGATGCTCTTAGTCGAACAATAGCAGCTTCAAATCAAGGTCACTTCTTGGTCGCTCGACGGTGGTACAGTAGCGACATCAATGCATTGCCGGCCAAAGTTGTAGTGCTGGTATTATTCGCTCAAGTCCCTGTCGACCCCAGTCATCGACATGTAACGTTACACACCGGAGTTCACTCGCAAATCTGTGTGTATCCTTTGTCGGGCAAGGTGAAGAAGACAAACATGTACTGTACAATTCCCTCATTAAAACAGTTCCACTGTTTTTTCTCAGAAAACACTGCAATTTAAGGACTTTGTATGCTCGGCCCACCTCACCCCGAGGATTTAGCATCGTATATACTCACTGGGGGTAGGACGGAGTCCCAGATTACAGGGCTACGGACAAAAAGGTGTATCCGGATGGGATAATTCGTCATTGAAACAGTATTTCAAAACAACAGTGGAACTGTAAAACAGTTCCACTGTTTTACAGTTAATGAGGGAATTGTTCGACTAACATGGATATATACCTCACCACCTGTCGTGACATGTGAGTTTTTCCCAGGAATAAGTCATGACATTCAATTGCGACACGTTATGGTTAATTGAGTTTGGATTATCATTTTTAAGACATTGCTCCGCGAGGGCCGACACTAGAACCACATGTTATGGAACCGCTTCGCCAATTGTAACGCGCCTGCTCCATCAGGGGCGGTGTGTAATCTTCGGTTTTTACTTCGCTCATCGCTTCATACCTCGTGCTTCGACCGATCTTCTTCGAAGTTCGGTCCTCGTCTTCGTACGCAGCCCTTGTTCCACTGTTTTTTCTCAGAAAACACTGCAATTTAAGGACTTTGTATGCTCGGCCCACCTCACCCCGAGGATTTAGCATCGTATATACTCACTGGGGGTAGGACGGAGTCCCAGATTACAGGGCTACGGACAAAAAGGTGTATCCGGATGGGATAATTCGTCATTGAAACAGTATTTCAAAACAACAGTGGAACTGTAAAACAGTTCCACTGTTTTACAGTTAATGAGGGAATTGTTCGACTAACATGGATATATACCTCACCACCTGTCGTGACATGTGAGTTTTTCCCAGGAATAAGTCATGACATTCAATTGCGACACGTTATGGTTAATTGAGTTTGGATTATCATTTTTAAGACATTGCTCCGCGAGGGCCGACACTAGAACCACATGTTATGGAACCGCTTCGCCAATTGTAACGCGCCTGCTCCATCAGGGGCGGTGTGTAATCTTCGGTTTTTACTTCGCTCATCGCTTCATACCTCGTGCTTCGACCGATCTTCTTCGAAGTTCGGTCCTCGTCTTCGTACGCAGCCCTTGTTATCCGGATTCCCCAGGTGGAGGGACGGATAAATCCTTGCGGAAATAATCCGGGGAATCCGGGGATCGAACCCACGACCTTTGAGTTAAGAAACCGATGCTCTACCACCTAGATTTACAGTTATGTAAGTACTACTACTCTGGAAAGAAATATAAGGAAGTGTCCACTGTCCGAGTGACAATTTATGAAAAAACTATGCACCATTATATAGAGACTTCCTTATATTTCTTTCCAGAGTAGTACATGTTACTCGGAGTAATGAACTTGCTGCACTGGCTATACGCACAGTACGAAGCCTTCAATCGACCACAAACCTGACCCGAGACATCTCATTGGCTAATATCCACTTCGCCCTTTCCTTTGGGTAGAAAATCAAATAGATTGCAGCCAATCAGCAATAAGCATTTCCATATTCACCGTGTAGATAACGTTATGTAGCTATATAGGTAGAAGTTACCTACAGAACATACCGAGAACGTTCCGTTGGGGTTCGTTGACTCCACATTCTACCACTGTCCGCCCGTCACGTGTCAGTGACAGTACCTACATTCCGAAGCCTGTGTCATGCCCCGGAGGCCATTCCTGGCTGCATGGTTCAAGTCGTCCCACAAGTGTACTTGCATACTTGAAACAAGCAACCTCCTCAACCCCCCCCCCGCAGCCCCATCAAAGCCACCGTCAAAATCCCGCAAAAATACTCCACCGAAACCCGACCGTACATGTGGTCGGGGGCAACCGCGTGGTCTTCTTCTCGTCGCAAGTGCAGCAGCTAAAGCAAGCTCGCACGTCCTTCCACCCGATCGATGAGGACGTGCGGTGTGACCACTGCTTGGCCCGCAGCGATGCACTCACAGCTATGGCTACAAGAACGCTTGTAATGGCACATAAAATCCACTTATTTAATCAAATCTTACCCCCCGGTACTCTTTGTCGTGTGTTTGTTTCGCCGCCTATCATTCTTCCATCTATTCATCCATCCATCGAAAGGTTCACTTCAACGCTGAAGTATGCACTGTTACTGTACTTCATAGGATTAGTTAGACACGCATAATAATAATATGGGGTTGAAAGAACGGCTACCTGAAATGCACTTCGTATTGGAGGAAAAGAATGATAAGGTTTGAGCTAACCTTAGTTTCCCTGTCAATTCTGTCAACATCAAGGCGAATAGATCAAGTCAGTGTTGCCCCTACCATGACCATCGATGATAATTGCCTTCACCATGAAAATTCCTCTTACTGTTAACGTTATTATTCCAAGATTTTATCCTCACAGTCGCACCGGTGGGGATGCCGTCAGAATCCGTACCGGTACTTCACTTGTAATTCCAACATGAGTTGTGCACTGATCATTGCTCGAGATCGCGATGCAGCATCCCATAGCTAGTTAGTACATACATACAGTATGCACACACACAAACTTCCTACACTGTTGCCATAACGTAGAATGCCAATTGTTGCAATACAATTTATTTTTAGTATTAAATTATACGCACGACGTCGTTGGGCGACAAGAGCAAGTCATAGGTCGATCGTCGTGTATACTCGTCCTTGATATCGATGTCGGGCAGTGGTTTAAAGAATCAGACTCCGTCGCGGAGGCTGTACGGCACGACGTAGGCCACCCCCAAGTCGATTTTAAATCCTTCACGCGGCACACTCCCAGCTCTCACAGCACACACGGATGGTTAACTCTCAAGATATGCTGGCATCATTTGAGTGGGTTTCCTGGGCAGCTCTAGCCACTTGGCGACGGGAGAAGTTATGACGATCTGCCCGTCGTGACCTAAGTCGCTCACTTCCCCGCCGATGAGTTCCGGCAGGCCCACGTAGCTGATGCGATGGGTGACGGGATGGGTTTTCTTGTAGATTTGGCCGCTAACCTGGTCTTCAATGGCTTCAGAAGCATGAATACCCATACGCACACGAATCCCGTGGAACAAATATGGGGCTTTCTTGAGACGCTGCCGCTGCCCCTTTATCGACGACTCCGTTGATAAGGGGGCCAACGGAAGCAGCAACAATTGGGTTTGCACGTCCAAACAGTACGCCAGGGCGTCCCCAATGCCGTGAAACGCCAGCTGAAAAGAGCCCCCTGCCGTGGTGATCTCGTAGCCATGGTGGACGACCAGCAGGGAGCGAAGCAGCCAATCGTGCAAGTCTTGGGTGTCGTGCATAATGGATCCAAGGGCCCCCAGACGCTTCGATGTCGGTGTTGATCAAGACGGGGTTGCTTAGCGGCGCCCGGGCAGGTTCCAAGCATGAAAGGGCATGTTGGTGGGCATGTTTGGAATCATTGTCATTGCCGCCGTTCTGACTCGTACAAAACGACAGGCAGCTCGTTTGACTTCCGGCAAGGGCCAAGGCAAACACGAGCGTGTGGCGTAATTCAATAGGGACAACACCCCCATCATCTACAAACATTTGAACAGACCAATAGGAGAGTTTTTTTGCTGTATTCTCTCCAATAAGAGCTATCGATCTTTTTATCTATGATTGGCTAAAAGTGCATTGTAACTTGACATCGGATCAGTTGACACAAATGAATAAAATGTCAATTGTACTACTGTGGGCGAGTTCACCCACGGTTCTCTGTACTCTATGTACTACCGGTAGTACAGTACTGTCCGTTCCTTCCGCCCAAACGGACAGTACTAAAGTATGCCATGCATCGGCGTACACAAGTCGTTTGATGCGGTGGAAATCACCCGAACGAACGTCGGCATCAGCGGCATGCTGGGATTGTAAGTCCAAAGTAACACACTTCAAATGTCTAACGTTACGGCAGCCTTGCACTCTAAGTTAGCCAATGAAATGTCTAGAATTTTAGAATTGACCAATCGAATGTTGTAATCATTGCCAATTATGATTGGTCAGATAGTCCGATGTGAAAGGGATTCAATTGGCTAGACCTTGCACCTGCATCCTGGACGCCTTTTTGCATTTTTGATCTGTGTCATTGCAACATGCCTGTGAATCCGACGTCGATTCGGGCGCTTCTTGCCGTGAATGCGGGCCTCATCTACGCCAGTGGACTCTTTGTGTACATGGGATCGGCAGCCCTCGACAGCATATCGCGAGCCGTGTCCGCTGGCACGATTCTCCCTGACTCCGCAGTGTTCATCGTTGTTGTGGGTGTGTTGGGCATGTTCTCAGGGGTGTATGGTGCTTACACTACAAACCACCGATCCGAAACGCACTTGAGTCGTGTGGCCAAAGCCATGGCGTTGGTTTCATTGCTGTTTCTGACCAGCTTTGCCTTGAGTTTGGTAATGTACCTACAATCGAAGCGGTGGTTGAGAGTCTACCCATACAACTCGTACAGCTCGTTTATGCCAGAGTCCCGAGTCGCGTATGAGACAGCGTTTAGCGGCCTCGTGTGTCCCATTACGCTTGGGTTTGCCTGTCACGGCCAACCCATGGCCGTCCAAATGGAGAGTAGCGAAGGCTACTATTCAGTCCAAAGAATCCTCATGCCATCGACGCCTTCTGAAAAGTGGACCCAGTACTCGTACAAACCGCACGGATGGTATGGTGTGAACGAGTCCGTGGCGTCGGCTTTGACGATGGTGCCGCGAAACTCGGGCCGGTTCATCGACTTGTGCTCAAACGTCACAGGCCGCATGGAGGCGCTAGGACCGGCCAAAACTTTGGCCGCCGAACTCAAACGAGCGTGCCGCGTGTGCGCGTCGGTCGCCCCCGTAAACGAACTGCCTTCGTGGATGGATACGTATCCGCGAGATTACAACAAGCGATATATGGACATTTATGCATTTGTGTCGCCCGCGTGGACGAAGGAATGCATGCAACGACTCGACTGGGGCGCCATGCTGGGTGGTGGCTATTCTAGATATTCGACCACGTACAACTTGTACGGCTCCAGTTCGGTCCCCCTGTCGTCCGTGTTTTTGTCCAAATGGTCCAGCTTCGCATTGGCCATATGCGTGAGCAGTGGATTTCTCGGTGTCGTAAGCGCGTTGTTGGCGTACGAAGCCCAGCGAACCGTCAAGGAGTTGCCGCCAGCCAGTCGACCGAATTGATGGAAATCTTTAGTATGTCGAAAATATAAGTCTTGCGGAATCGAGTTGAAATGGTGCAGTTATACAATGCCATCGGCAACTATGTATGTACCGCCACATCACCGCAACCGACCACGACACTGTTCCTTCAAAATGAAACTAAACTCGTATCATCATGATTCAATGGACTCGAGAGTACTCTTAATATTAGGGAGGTTTCGGGAGATGAGTAATATTTATCGTTATACTTAAAATAACCTCTGATGCTTTATAGGTTTGAGGAAAACTCCGGAACTTAGTACCAGAATCCCTGAAATGGGGATTCGAATCCTCGACCATGATTGGCCAGATCTGTTGACTTGTGATCTGTATGCCAGATCTGAATGCAAAGCTGCGGCGTCGCCTAATTTGCGTTTCGTAGTTCCTACAAGTGTATACATGTGATGTTGCACGGGATTCTACGTCACTATGCAAAAAGATGGAGGTTATCATGAACTTGTTCGCTCCCACCGCGCCTCTGATCGACCTCACTTTATGTGGGTATATCCAGCACGCTTCCACCTTCCACGCTCCATTTCAAGAGTCGGCCGCGCCTAGCAGTACATCCGGCAGGAGTTGTACCAGTGGCTATCAACGATATCTTAAAATCACGAGATAAGTACTAGTATAGAAGCACTCCTCTGCAGATGGCGCTTTGGTGCCAGTTGCCGAGGCGTGCTACTTTAGATGCAAGCCACTCCTTGCCTTCGTAGCCACGCCTTTCCGAACGTCCTACAGATAGTAGAACAACTGAACTAACACAATATGAGTTTCAATCAATTCAATGCTTCGTATGCCTCTGTCGTCCCTAACGTTACTAGCCCCAATGCTTCAACGGCGAATGACCCATGGGACGACTTCACAATGACCTCGCCGATCATCCACGAAGTCCACGAATTTGGCTCCATCTACCGGTAGCCTATGGATAGAGAAAACTTGTTAACGTTATCACCAAAATCGTCGATATAAAATCCCTTGCTTTTATAATACTTTGCTTTCAATTTTTAAGGAAAAAGAAAAGAGAAGTCATCTCCAAAATCTCCCTAGTTTACAAAACGGATTTACAGTAAACATTAGATAGTTACTGGTATTACTGTATATACTAACTCGTACTAGTACTTACTAAATTTACTACGACAGCATCAAGCGACGTTTTTTGCCTATTTCATTCAAATTGATCGAGTCTGTAGTACGTAAATTCAGTGGTTGTCACATTTGTCAAGTGTCCCTGATTGAAAAGCTTCTTGATCGCAAATTGGCACATTATTGGTGGCAATATGAAAAAAATTGAATTATTTTATCCAATTCTCGGTTTTCCCGTTACACAAAAAAGAAGAACAATCGCGAATTGATCGAATCTTATTCGACGACGACAAAGTTGGCCTTGAGGGAGATGAGGTCTCCGTCCATGTGGACCTGCGTCCAGCCGCCGCGGCGCTTGTATCCTTTGAACTGGCACGTCTGGAAGACATGGTCCTTCATCGTCAACTCCCCGAGGATCGACATGGTCAGGGTCATCTTGGACGGACGGAACACCGCCAGCACACGCTCGACCATAGGGGCGTACGCGCCGACCTTGTCGTTCGTTTCGAAGCTCGCGTAGCTGCAGTGGCTCTCGGGGGTGATGTGGATGGTCGAGTACACGTCGTCTTCGATCGAGTTCATCGAGTACCCGCACGGTTCGAACGCGAACGAGTCGAGGATCGCGTTGGGCACCAAGTCGCGGATGCCGCTCGCCGCGCTCATCTCGACGCCGTCCATGCCGTTGTCGCGCTTGAAGAAGTGCGCGGCCACATCCGCGTGCATGTCCTGCATGAGCATGTGCACCGTGTGCTCGTTCTTGCGTTCCGACGAGTCCGACGGCGAGTTGGGGCCGTGGGTGTCAGCGTCCCAGTTGTACGAGTACCAGTGGTCGCCAGTGATGGGGCCGAGCACATGAGCCACACCGTTGGGGAAGAAGTCGTTGAGGAACTCCACTTCCGCGCTGAACGACGTGTGGGGAAAGTGCTGCTCTTCGGGCTGCAAGAAGTTCTTGCGCGAGTACCGGACCTTGTCGATGCTCATGCCGAGTTCGTGGAGGTACTCCATGACGAGGGGCAACGTCTTGAGCAACGTGGTGGTGCCGCACGTCTTCATCAACAACTTGCGCGGGTACACAAAGAGCGACGACTCGGAGAGGACGTACGCGTCCAAGGACGCATTGGACACCTTGGAGAGGATCGTGCATTTGGCAGCATCGCACAGCGCGTCCAATTGCGTGCGGGACAAGGCACGGAGGCCGTCGGGGTGGCCGGCATCGGTGAAGTCGATTTCTAGGTTCTTTTCCGGCCCTTCGAACGTGTTGGGGTAGTCGACGTTGGCGGGGTTGTCGGAGCAGTTGCTGCACGAGTCCGTGGAGGCCGTGACGCTGGTGGCCGTGGTCTTGTCGTTGAGGGTAGTTTGGGTGGTCATCCTGAATGAAGCGTAGTCGATGCTAGGCTGGGGTATCACAAGCTCCGACGTAAAAGAAGCCTGTGTAGATGCGCGAGGGATCGACTAGGTAGTTGCCTGACAACGTTGTTCTGCCGCTTCGTCCGTGGATGCTTCGGGCGGAACCTCGATGCATGCACTGGTGGAATGGAAAGTGAGCGGTTCAATGGTCGAGCCAGGCCGTTTTGACCCAGAGGATATGGGCATACAAACATCAAGATAATTGGCCACCTGTTTCACTTGTATACAAACACCAAGTCAAAATACTTCCACTGGGATTCACTACAAGATCCGCGGCGAAAAGTTGAACTTTCATCAATGGTGGCCAGCACCCGCCGATAATAATAGAAATAAAGAATGCAAAGACGCGTTTTAGAGCTCGAAAAACGTTTAAACAAGATTGGGACGTTTCACATGCGTTTTTCAAGGCAAACGTGGTTTCAACCCTGCACTGCAATTGACCCCACCAACACTGCTGTTTGCAAGTACTTCAAAGTATAGCAGGTACCTCGGTTTGTTATCACTACGGACTACTAGTATTTGTGTAAGAATATATGTAGTATGAGGGGGGTTGTGGAACCGCGAGAAGTGCAAGAGTTGAACTGTTCACATCCATGGCAGCAACCTGGCAGGCGTTTCATCAATAGATTGAATATGGAGTGTTTAAACAGAAACGTTTTTTATAAAAACGAGTGTTTTTTTTGCTGCGGATTCGATTTATATTGGTCACTCTCTCGTATTGCTCTCACTGCTCTCCCATACAAATTCCGAGGTATTCAAAAATGTAAAGACCATTTGGTGTTTGCGGTACGCTTACAACGACTGGGAGTGTTGATTATGGGACTAAATTACATCTCAGCGGTGATTGTGATGCTTGTGACTTGACAGGCATCGCTTGAGGCATTATTGCTATGTGGCCAAGCTAACGACCAAGAGCTCACAGTCGAGCGCTACATATTGATTGAACTGTACCGCGGAATATACGTATAGATCGCACAAATCAGAGTTGTGAATGTACCGTACTGTATGCACCTGAAACTTATGATGGACACTGAAAATACAGTGTATGTGGTGGTGATTGCAGAACAATTCCCTCATTCATACAGTACTACAGTTTCTATCCTCAGAAATACTGTTTCCATAAGGGAGAGCCAGATACTGTAATTGCCAAAACTGGCAACGCATCCAAGCGTTAACTGTAAGTACACAGCACACTGTGCACCTCACCGTGGCTCACTATTACTACTCAGTAATAACTATGCGGAGTACCACGGACTTTCTCTTTTCCAAATTACTCCGGACTTTTGCAAAATGCATTTTTTCCGTATTAATGGGGACATTTTACTTGTTTGTGATTGGCTAATCTGATAATACAATGATATCATTGGCTGAAGTTATTACAAAGACAAAATTTCATGGTCGCAAGATGATGCCTTTGGCAGAAGGAACACGCGCCACTGACGCTTTGAGTTCACGGTGAAGAACCCCGAGAAAAGAAGCGCGGTTGGTGAGGTTCAGTGTAGAGTACCAATGCTTCACTTAACTGTCCTTGTCCAGGGGCAACAGCTTCAAGCGGTTGCATATCTGCCCTCCATGCACGAAACACCACCGGTGGCCATACGCACCAAGGCCCCATAGTACTAAGGGCTTAGGGCCCGTCTGGCAACCTGAAATATTACAATATTCTGGCCCAAAACGCCATCTTGGGGCCGAATTCAATAAATCTGATAATAATTGAAACATGTCTTGTTTGAAGAGTTTTAACCCAAATCCAATAATTCCAAGTGGGATTTACTCCTTGTGGTGGTCCAAAAACGCCATCTTAGGGCGTGTTCGGAGCGACTTTTGTGTCAGCGGTTTTTGGCTTTTTCCACAAGCCGCTGAAATATCAGCGACTTTTTGCCTTCACTGACATTGGTTAATAACAGAGAAAAATCAACCAATGATGCGTCCTAAAATTCATTGTCCATTTTCAGCTCTATGACAGCGGAGCGCAGAAAATTGTTGTCGCGTAGTGGCTGTGGTGGCCAAATGTTCAGGCGGCGAGTGGCGAAACGACGTAGAGTAGATTTAGCGCATGAGAACTATGTATCTACGCAAGTCAGTCGTAAGTCGGCGGCTTGGAAATATAGACTGCCACGCTAATGGCGCAAAGGTAAAGGTCAAACCGACCGACAATGCTTTGTGTTTCAACCTTGTGCGTCGGTGTGACCGTCTCCTTCCCGAAGGAGTCGTGCAGTCATCACTACTAACTCTAGGCATGCGCAACCCATAAGATCAACTCCTAGCTAACCTGAAATCAGTTTACAATACACAGAGCCTAGGGTTCAGTACAAGTAGGACGTCGCGCGGGAGGGGCATGTGTGCAGCGTTCGATGTGTTGTGTGTGCAGCTACCCTCGACATGGAAATGACTTACCACAGCCGTGCTTCACATGGGTAAAGTTCTCCCGTCGAGGACCTACCAGTACACACCGGAGTGGAGTGACGAACCACCGGCATCCGACAAGGGCGTGCTTTGGGCGTGCTCCTGCGAAATTTTGGTTTGCAACCAAAAATTTATTCTGATATTTTTGCCCAATAAATAGCCACAATCCCAAAAGTCGCTGTAAACGACCTCAAGGACGTCGTCCAGAGCGGTTTTTGCAAAAGTCGATGGAAACGATTTTGATTGGCTACTTTTCCAAAAACCGCTGACACAAAAGTCGCTCCGAACACGCCCTTACACTATTGACCTTTAACCTCCATTTTGAAAATGGCATTTTTAGTTTATCCCTTACCGGTATCCCATTTTGCCAAAAAATGGAATATTATTTTTGAAAAGTTACCAAAATAATCGAGGTTTATTTAGGCGATCCCTAAATAAATCTCGATTATTTTGTATTTTTTTTCTGATGCCTGATGACGAATCAAATTTAGGATGTTTTGCGCTTGCAGCCAATAGACATTACCTTTATATTTTTATTCTCTCTCAGACATGGTAGGACTCATTAAATTTAGTGAGAAAATGATGTTTTGAGGTCGCTGGGAAGGGAAATATCCACAGTACAGTAATATGGAACAGTGGAAGTAGTATATTCTGAAATATTGCCTAATGGAATATGCTGAGTATACTAAAATAGGAAGGGTAAAGTACTATTAACGTAGATGGCCAGTTTATGGTGCACGGGACAGTTTAAGGTGCACTCAAATTGGCCAATGGAATTGCTTGAATTTTGGAGTAGCCAATCAAATCACTAGAAATATGAAATCACTAAAAAATAAGCAAAAACAGCATACATATTTTAAGCTTAAACCGTGCACCATAAACCGTCCCTCCTATTTTGCCTTGACTTGAGTGGAATCGAAGTCAATGAACGCTAAGCTGAAGGCTATTCAAGCCGATTAAATAATCAGAAGAATACCCAACCTTTCGGCTGCATGCATCACTTTTCAGAATTGAAATCCTGGTCCTGGGAGACGAGTAAGCTGAATTCTACGACGAAGTCTCTTTCAAGTGCACCATAAACTGGCCATCTACGTTAGCGACTTGAAGGGCCGCCGCAATCACTTCGTCGTCTTTTTGCCTCTTACCTACGCGTTCGTTTCACAACGAACGGCTGAGAATATCTACCGGTCTTTTGATCCCATTGCACACTTCATCATGGCAAAAAAACTAAGCTATGTACAGAAATGAATTACAGTAAGGTCGTAGATTGAGTCTGCCCTGCCCAGTCGGTGATGTTTTTGCTTTTGTACAGTACTAGTATTTACAGTTTGTTAGTACCCAATCACATACTTCGAAGTACTACATAGTCCTTCAGTAAGCCAGCTTATATTGTTCGGATTTGATCATACCTGATATAAGACGCGTTGCCGAGGCGGACACGGCGGTTGACGGCGAATTCGCTCCTGCAAGTGTACATGAATCAAAATTATGCATAAAACAGTCAATGGATACGTAGTTACAAGGTAGAAATATGAATATTAGCTTGAGCCCAGCTTCACTTTAGTAAAACGAAGCACCAAACCTATTGTGCTTTTCATCGTTTTTGGCTAATCCATGGCTCACACCTCCTTTATTAATAATTTTTCATCCTACGATTAGGGTAAAGTAAGGTATTTTACGGATTGGAGCTCTCATGGCTTAACGGATTGCCACAGAAAACTATGACATCAATATGAGCCTTCTCGTTGTTTACCACGTAACTGTAAATGCGTGGTCTCCGAATAATTTGCCATGTATGAAGCAATGACGTTATCCGTACATTATGGAATATCACAAAAATCAAAAACCAACATGACCGACCTGCCACTTCCCTGCGGTAGCGGCGGCTGCAGGATCACTCATTAACAATTGCTCAGTGTAGTGCATCGATGATGGTGTACATCACATGGCTCTCCACCAGCCTCGCTGAACTCCACTCTCCGCCAACACGGCCAAACTACAATATACTCAGGGCATCGTACACTGGTCTATGCAGCAAGTGTAAAACGAAGCATATCAATTGTTCTGTCATAACGTTAAGCGCACCACTACTACGTAGTACTCGTACTATGTAGTATTACTACCTAGTAGTAGTGTGACTACAGTACTAACGTTACCATATTTTGGTTTGTCATTTTTGAGGATGTGAACATGCCAATGTTATCAACCAGCGAAATTCCAAACTGGTGACTGCAGCGACCACAAGACTACGATTCCAATTCACGAAAACTTACAACTACATCCAGATATCGAACTACGTTTATAAAAGTTATCCCCCCCTTCGAAGGCGAGAAGTCGACTTGTTTGGCGGATAATAATACGCTTCCACCAATTCCATCAACGGTGGCTTGATGTAATGGAACGAAATCGTGTCGGGCGCGGCGCACTGACTGGCATTCTGCCACCCGATGCCGCCACCATGGTCGCTGAACCAGTTGTTTTCGTACTCAATGGACGGATACAAGTCGTGGTCGAACGCGTCGGGGTTGTGATCTTCGTGGTAGATGCGGGCAGGGGAATACTGATGGAATCGTTCGCGGTGGGCAGAATCTCTATACCAACAACACAATGCGAACGTATTATTGTGGTTTCGGTATAGATTTCCAGATCCTGTCGAATCGAATATCTCGCCGCCGAATCGAATCATGAATCGACGCTATGATTGGCTAATTCAATTTTGAGTGGATTTGATTGGCTCTTACGGAAAGGACAAGTATAGTCAGCCAATCAGAACTCCAGCGTGATTCAAAATAACAAACCAGCCGAAATTTGGAAGTTAATAGCGAATTCACGATACTCCAGTTGGATTTCAAACGATAGTCATAAAAGCAAATACTACGTAGTAAGCATTATTGTCACGTCGATTCGAAATTGGAGTGGGGTGCTCGATCAGCACCGAATCGATATATCGACCAATCAAAAACCACAACACGAATCAAGTGGCCAATCAAGTCAACTCTTCGACCAATTCAACATCGAATTCGTGTGTGATTGAAATTAGTATGATACTGGACGATCTTTACAAAGTACAAAGAATCGATCGATAGATTTGGCGAATTAGCACAAAGTCCAAATATTGGGTAAAAGGACAATAACTACATCAGAGACGACAACGATATGTACCTCGTATCGACTGGAACGACGCCCAAAAAGCGCATGCAAAACGAAATCGCCCAGTCATCGGGTACAATTTCGTCGGGTAAACAGAACGGCTCGTCTAGATGTTCCACCAACAGCTACAACCCCCAAAATATGTGACACGGTTGCGCATAGTGTAATAACAAGGAAGAAGGATACAACTACTACCAATTGGAATGGTTGGTACCTTTAAATAAGCCATATTAAACGCGTAGCCACCACCCCCAGGCGTGTAGTATAGCCCGCCATGGGGCATTGTAGCCGTCTTGGTAGCCGAAAACGCGGCAAAGTGCTTGGGGTGCATCGTAGCTTGCAGGTTTGGGCCGTAGAACCATTCAAATGCCCGTTGCATTTCCCACCACTGCAGTGTCATGCGATGGCCCTACGATCGTGTCCAATTTAATATATACATTTATATATATTCAATCCGTCAAGGCATTGGAATATATATTATTTATACATCAAACCTACCAAAAGCAACGGGCGTGACATATTTGTCGACTGTGTGGCCACGTACGCCCGCAGGTTCTCCACCAATACAAACGTATCGTCATCGCATTTGAAGATCCAATCATACGCGTCGCCGTATTCGCGCCACAAGAGCCGAACTACAGCGCTAGAGCATACATTCATTCCGTGAGAGGCCATACATACATACACTCGCGGACGAGGTAGCTACATACCGATGCTTTTGCCACAGATGCAAGTGGGTAGCGGGGGCGACTACGCGCGCCGTGGGAATGGACAGGTCTTCCACGTTGCTCATAAAGACGAGCTTATCGCAACGCTGGCCCCACGTCGCCTTGATCGACCGCGCCCGGTTGTGGTTCTCGTCGAACGTGTTCACCCAACACAGAATCTTCTGTGGCGACGAGGGCTCTGGAAGTACGCGGACGAGCCGCAGCGCGTCCATGTTGTCACCCAACTGGTCCTCGATGGACTGGCAATGAACGAGCAATGGCAGTACGCAGCATAGTAGTACGAGCCACGGCGCCGCCATAACGTGCCAACACAACGACAGGACAGTGTACATATTTGATCAAGCACAAAGCGAAATGGGAATGCCATTGGGTGGAATATATTGTATATGGAGCATTTGATTGGACAAAATCTATTCTGCACGTGTGTACACTGTACACTGTACTTTGTCCTTGTTAGTGACAGGCCAGTTGACTGCCACCACTTCTATACTATTAATAGTAGTAGTATCGTTTAGCTCAACGTGAGTAGTAATGTAAAGTCATGAGTCATCATAACTGCTTTCATTTCAGTGACGACAATATAGTACTAATCAAACACGAATTATTTTATATCGTTCATATACTAGTATTACACCCAGTAGCCCACAATTGCCATAGCCATAGCCCCGAGCCAGAGGAACGCATAGTTTAGCCATCGTGCTGAAGAAGTCTTGGCGTGGAACTCGGGGTTGATGGTGTAGTGGTACGTCAAGAGCTCGACTAGCCCCGTGTACACCAAAATGCCGCCCGCGACGGCGTCCAAGACCCCTCGGGTCCACAGCGATGCCGCGGACGTTTCACTGTACGAACTGCTCACGGCGATCCCCAAGGCGATACCCAGGGGGGTCGTAATGGAAAACCCCAGCGCGGTGAGGGCGGACGTCCGGAAGCTCGAGAAGGCCGTCACAGCCGACGAGCCCACGGCGATTCCTTCGAAGAACTGGTGGAATGAAATCGCGACCAACAACGCCGAAAAGCTGGGCCCAGTCGCGACCCCCAAGTTGACCCCGACGATCACCGAATGAACTGCGACGCCGATTTCAAAGATGAGCACGTTGATCTTTTTCCGCATGTCGCTTTTGTGGGTGGAGGTGGTGCTGATGTCGTGCTCGGGGGAGTGATGGGTTTGATGGGAAGGTGTGTGATGGTGGTGGTGGTGGGCGTGGGGTTGGTTGTGAAGGGGGGGGTCGTCGGTCAACTGCACTGCCAACATGCTGAGGGTGGTGGAGCCGCGGTGGGACTTGAGAATGGCCACGGCACTGTCGCGGTCCAGTTGCGGCTCGTCCAAGAGCAGCACCAATTCCGTTTCCAGCACTTGCATGAGAAACACAGTGCCTACGACAATGGCCACGGCTAAACCAGAGTACTTCACGTCCAAACAAGGGTGGTTCAGCGTGTCGATAGCTGGCGGAATCATGTGGATGAACGCGGTGGCGATGACGACGCCAAACCCAAACGAATTGAGCAGCGTGAGGACCGACCGGGCTTTCCGAAGGCATGTCACGTACGCACTAAAGACTGGAAACAAACTACCGACAATCGACACCCCAAACACGATAAAGATGGCGGCGATGTGCAGGGATTTATTGTACCCTTCTACCTTCAAGTTCTTGATAGCCCCGCAAGTTCTGGTGCTGTCGGCTTCGAGGCTGCCTCGGTCATCGTCGCGATCTCCCTCGGCGAGCACAGCCAATACGGACCACAATAACACCAAAACGACACGCAAGTTCATGTGTAGCATTGACGTGAAATGCCAAAATGGCAATACAAGGTTAGTTTTGGCATTGCCCGGGTGTGATCAAAGGCTGGGAGCTTCCAGTTTTATTGCAATGTTATCGTTAAATAGATACAGTGAAGATGGTTGCACTTGGACCTGATTCACACCCAGTTTGAACGTCCCGTATGCGTTCGGTCAGAGTAATGGACACATTGCGTCAGGTCATAATAACATTACATACTTTTCGAGTGATTTGGCCACGTCCTCGAAGAAATTCTTGAAAGTACAACGTGGAGGACCAAGCCCCCAAGCTGGCGATGATACCAGTGCGCCTACACCTTGATTTTCCAATGCTACTCTACAATTTGAGTTTGTGAAGAATCTGCGGTGATGATGCCTGTCCTGTACTAGTATCAACCACCAAACCGGTACATCCGCAAACGAATCATATGTGTGTAGTGTATAGAGATACTGTAGATACAGCAACTTTTGAGTCCATCCTACAGAATTCCATTCAATTTCTCTACATTCAATTTCTCTACGGGAACAATAGAACGCACGACGAAATACTTGCCGAAAATCCTGAAAATTCATCGTCGTCGTTCATAAGCTTGGCACTGCTTTAGCCAGGCGGATTGTTCACCATAGCGCTAGTACTATGGTAGGACCAATTTGATTTTAAAAGGATGGGCTCGAGCGCTCGGGCTGAGCGCGGAGGACTTCAGACTCAGGCCTGAACTCGTACGACTAAGACTTTACTCTAGTTGTACTAGAGTAAAGTGTTAGACTATGGTACAGTTGTGTCCTGTAACAGTAGGCCGTTCGTGCACCTACTACTTCTATGGAAGTACAGCTGCGCTTTACGGTAATCTTAGTCGTGGGCAACAGTAGTATCACCTTAAGCAAACCAGTATGAACACCGACCTTCAACCAAAAAATGAGCTCGAAAGGTGGGACTTTTAGGATCGAATATTGCCACCCCTGAACTACATGGGGCGTTGTGGACTGTAGGCAGGCACCAAGTTAACGTTAGGTCTAAACGTGTAAGTCGCGTAAAGGCTTACTTCCAATACCTTCACGTTAAGTAGTTTTTAGCGATCGCACACTGAATGACTGCCGCAAGGCGCCAACTGAATAATCACAGCTACAATTGATCAACAGAATGTAATGCGAGATCGCCGTAACGTTACAGTCTTGAGGGCAATTGTGTTTTACCCTGGTTTGACACTTGACTTTCGCCTGAATTTGATAGGGGTGCTCTCAATCGATTTGATCGTCGCCTCCAAATGACTGCACATAGTGTACCACAATTTCCCCTCGGGGCCCCAAAGCACATGATCAATTCCCACACATTTCAGCCTCTGGGAAGTTGACCTGGCAAGACTTGCTACAAGGCGTTTCAGTACATGGCATGGCACGGCTGATATATGTAAGTCAATTACCACATGCATATTCCACCAGTTCCCTTCAAAGCGGGATAATACGCCCACCGCAGTCGTACTGCCCATATATTTTAAGCATCGCTGACGCTAACCTAGAACATTTGAGGCAGCTTTTTGAGGCCAACATGCTGTGTACCTTATTGAGTCTCTGGATGTCATTTTTGTTTGTAAGACACTTTTCCGACCACAGGTGAGCGGTGGGGAGCACGACGTTTGAAACGCTTGCTCATTTCGGTAACAATACCCTTACCCCCCACATTATACTGACAAGCTTGCCCAGGCCCCACATCCCCCCCTGCGAGATCTCAAACATAAAATTCGTCAAATGCCTGAACTTATCAATTATTCGCTCACAAAGCGGGGTGATGGGCCAATAGCTTCTATGGGTTACAGTATGTACTGTACTGTACCAAGCCCCGCACGGCTGCCTCCTCGCTGACAAGAGAGCAAGTTGTCATCAGCTGTTCCCCTGCTTTACGTTTGTGAGCCCATGGAATTCCCCAAGTTCCCAACCACATTCGGATGTTCGGCTAACTGATTACATTTAAAGGGGACAAGTCACTCACTTTCCTCACACGACTGTTGATGATATAAGCTGACTCCAAAGGCAGCAATGTCAGTTCGGATGCATATGCAAGTATCGCAGCTGTCGTTGCTGTGCAACTGGTACCTACAGTATATCGAGGTCATTTGTGTTAATACGTAATTACTAGTAATTTTATCGCACGAATTGTTTACACTGTTTGGGCATTGAATATCGATCAATTCGATGGAGGCATGTGTGATAAAAAC